CACTGGGCCCACCCAGATAATCCAGAATCATCTCCCCATCTGAAGATCCTTAACTTAATTACACCCCAGAGTCCCTTCTAGCACGCAGGGTGACATTAACAGATTTCAGGGATTAGGATGTGGACTTCTTTAAGGGGCCGTCATTCTACCTACCAAAACAACCATATGAGGTGGAGTACAGTTATTATCCCAGAGAAGGCAACAAACACAGAGAGGTTAGGTCATTTGCTCAGGTCATAAAGCCAATAAATGGCAGGATTGGAATTTAAACTTAGGCAGCTGGACTTCAGGGTTTATGTTTTTAAGCTCTGTGGGCACCAAGAAATCAGTAAATAACAATTTAAATTTCTAACCCCCCAAAACATTCCCATACATAACTACCTGTTAGATGACTCCCCTAAGAAGATAAACCATCACATCCAAAACTGGGCTGATCATCTTTCCCCAATACTTTTATCTTCTGCCCTCAGTCTTAGTTTCAGGGACTAACATCCATCCTCTCACCCAATTTAGAAACCCGGGGATCATCCTGGAGCCCTCCCTCCCCTTTCTAGGTCTAGTCCATACCACCTCCTGCACATTTCTCTTCTGCATTCCTACCAACACTTGCCCAAGTCCCACCTTGCATCATTTTTACTTGGCCCTCATAGTTGTCTCCTGATTGGTTCCTGGTCTCTAATCTGCATGAAATACAAATCGAAGTCTGTCCTAGCCCTGTGTCAAACTCATCAGTAGCTCCCCATCGACTCTGAAGATTAAGCCCAATTACTTTAAGGAGACTTGCCTTCGACTTTCTTCTCCAGCCTCCCATACTGAACACTGGGGCTTCAGTACCATGGAATTGCTTATTCCGGTCTACACCATGCTGCTTCACACTGCCATGGCTTCTCTGTTCCTGCCCGTCTTGATGTCAGGGCCACGTCCTGGCATCCTCACTTGCCTGCCTCTTCCAGCAGATTTATCTTTAGGGGGCCTTCTTTGCACCCCTGCCGGCATCATGACCCATCCTGCATGTTCTTGCAGATGTCATGCCAGGTACCCAATAACAGTCTCTCCTACAGGAAAGTGATTGGGTTGTGTCTGCTCCTTTGTTCCACTAGCTCTGAAAGGTCAGGAAAGCTTACTCATCTTGGTAACCCTCGTGCCTGGACATAGCAGGAAACCAATGAGCATTTTGAGGTGATGTGAGTTGAATGGTGAACAAGCAGGAACGTGCTAATTCCAGAAAGTGGGAGAGAGATGGGCTTTCCAGGCAGAGGAAATGGTACACTCAAAGGAAAAGGCATGAAAAAGCAGAAAAGGTGGGAAAACATGGGTAATTCAATGAGGCCAAAAGGAAGAAAGCATGTTGGGGAAGGGCCCACTATCTTGTCCAAAAACGAACAGAAAATAGTGTTCGGGAGGGCCTTATGCGCTAAGCAAAAGATTTTCTGTTGATGTGAAAGCTTTGGGGAAGCCACACTGAAGAACTTCAAATAGGGGACATACCTGATCAGATGTGTGTTTTTTATCAGCTTTGCCTAACAGCTGGGTAAGTGGTGGATTGGACGGGCCCAGAGTAGAAGCAGACAGACCACAAAGAAGTCACTGCAATGCATGAGGAGGACTCAGAGGCAGGGGCCATGGCATGAAGAAGGGACAGGCCTATGGGCTTCTTAAGATTTGACATCAGTGGGGCGCCTGGATGGTTCAGTTGGCTAAGTGTCTGACTCTTGATCTCAGTTCAGGTCTTGATCTCATGGTCATGAATCTGAGCCCCATGTTGGGCATGGAGCCTACTTTAAAACAACAACAACAACAACAACAAACACTTGACATCAGTAGGATGTGGAAACTGACCTGCTGCAGGCCCAGAAAAATGAAGCATGGTATTCATTGGAATGCCCCCTGGGTACCTCCCAACCCATCCTCACATACCTTGCCTCATGCCCTCAACCTTGACCTCCCTTCCAGGAGTAATGAATAATCAACAACAGAATATGTCACATCTATTTCCCATAATAAGGGAAGTGAAATCCACACTTTAATGCTGGAGGGACCTTAGAGATCACTTGGGCCAATTGCCTTGTGTGATAGACGACTAAGCCCAGACACGGGAATGACTTCACTCTGGTAGCTCAGAAAATCTTTGGTGGGCACCCAGCCACCCTTTATTGAATCAGCTATTCAGTTCTCCACATGGCATTCATCTCTAATATTTTCATGTGTATTTGCTTATTTTCTGCCTCTCCCTTACCTTAGAATGTAATATTTAATAGCTGAGCCCTCGTCTGTCAAAAATAGCGTTTTGCCCACATGATAGACACTCAATGGGCATTTATTGAAAGAGGAATAGACCAGGTGTAATCAGGCTTGCTTCCTCCTGAACCAGTGATCTTTACACAGGACTTGGGTTTGGAGGGTATCCATCCATAATTCTGTTTCCTGCTAGGGTTTTTCCTAATCATTCCTGCAGAGACTAAAATCAACCACCCAATAATAACTGTAGCTCATGTGGCTTCAGATAGTGAAGAGCTAAAAATAATCATCATTACATTCCTTTAAAAGTAGTAACCACTGACCACCTCATACCTATTGTGATGGCTACTGTAAAAATACTGTGTTACAAGAATGTGGAACAGTTGGAATCCTACCTACTGTTAGTAGGAATGTAGGATGGTACAGCTGTTATGGAAAACAGTATGGTGGTTGCTCAAAAAATTAAACATAGAATTACCATATGATTCAGTAATTCCACTTCTGGGCAAACACCCAAAAGAATTAGAAGCAGGGTTTCAAAGACAGATTTGCATATCCACCTTCAAAGAGCATTATTTAAAATACCTAACATGTGGAAGCAAGACAAGTGTCCACCAACAGATGAATGGGTAAATGTGGTAGATACATACAATGGAATATTATTCAGCCTTAAAAAGGAGAAAATTTTGCCACATGCTACACCATGAATGAACCTTGAGGACAGTATGCTAAGTGAAATAAGCCAGACACAAAAGGACAATTACTGTACGATTTCACTTATATGAGGTACTTGGAGTAGTCAGAATCATAGAGACAGAAAGTAGAATGGTGGTTGCTGAGGGTAGGGGGTAGAGAGAGTGGAGAATTATTGTGGAATGGCTATGGAGTTCTACTTTTGCAAGATGAAAAGGGTTCTGGACATTTGCAACAATGTGAGTGTCCTTAACACCACTGCATTGTACACATGAAAATGGTTAAGATGGTGAATTTTAAATTATGTGTATCTTACCACAATTTAAAAAAATATGAACCACTGAGGTATGTATAGCTCTTTCCTTTGATCCTTATAATAACCTTGAACTGTTAGAATGGTCCCATTTTATAGTGAGGAAGATAAGGCTCAGGGAAGTGAAGTGAATTGCCCAAGGCACATAACTAGAAAATGGTGAAGCAGAACCTCATACTCGGATCTCCTGGTTCCATGCCCAATGCTGGCTTCCCTCACATCAGGGGAGAGAATGTATAGTTGAATTAATTTGACCTCTGGTTGAAATATATGCAAGAAATTGAGACTTAGCAATTCATGGGGGGAAAAAAGACTATAAATGTGTACATGTGTATACGTGTGTGTGTGTGTGTGTGTGAGAGAGAGAGAGAGAGAGGGTGGACTGGGGGAGCATGCAAGCAAGCTCCCAGACACCTGCTTCATGCTACTTCAATTTCCCTCCCTCCCTGAATCTTCAGAGGGCAGGTGTGAGTCAACTGTAAACATGATGAGAAAAGGTCACCCAGTAGTCCCTCAGATGGCAAAATGAAAATTGACTGGCGTGGAGATTGTCTGGCTACATGGAACTCAGCCCTTTAAGATGACCAGGAAAGACCATGGCTCCCTTTGAAATGGCTCCATTAGCTGTCCTCTCACACCCTACCTCCACCGCTTCCTACCTCCTGGGGAGACAAAAGATGACAAAATGTGCTTACAAAACTAAATCAGACCTAGTGAGAGAAAGGGGGAGCGGTGGAAACACCACTGAGCACGAGTCAAGCCCAATCCTACTTGCCCAGACCACCAGCTCCCCATGTAATGCCGGGCACATCCTTCCTCAGCCCCAAGGGTTGGGCTGCTGTTCCTACCACCATTTTCATATACTGAATTTAGAAGGTAAGCACACTCTCCCAAGTGGAGTCAAAAATACAAAAGGATCAGCTAGCCTCTTCAAAATAGCTCTTATTTATCACTGGCTTACTGGAATTTTGATGGACACCTCACATATAGTAGCCCTAACCTTTCTACCACTTGACAACTTTTTATGATGAGACTACACTGAGAGGTAATACCACATTTACCAGAGTATTTGCCTAGGTCATAAAGAACAGAGTCAGAATTTGTCTATTTCCAAAGTTAAATTCAACAGCCAAGTTATACAGAGCTATGGAAGCATGAGGAGACAAGGAAGAAGTTAGCTCTACCCATCAACCCCTGGGAAAATCTTCATGGAGAAAGGGGGGCACCAAAGTTGCAAGAAAGCAATTGACAGGTAGATAGAGGGTGCATTTTGTGAAGCAAGAACACATAAGCAAAGTCAGGATGGTGGAGAACACAGATTTCTAGAAAACGATAAATAATCCTGTTTGGTTTAAGGCTAGTTGCATTCAGCTGTGGCTGGAGACCATAATTCCACCAGATGATAAAGAACTTTGAATGCTGGACCTGGACTAAAAGGATTAGAACTTACTTACATAGACAACAAGGTACCACCAAAAATTTGTATCAAAGGATTTATCAGCAATTGTCAATATTGTCTCCTTTATAAGTATTCTTTACATGTTGTGAAGAAATTAAACATATCTGAAGTGTTTCAAAGAGGAGATGTTTGTTTTCATTGCATCTTCCATAGGCATCACCAGCTGACACCGCCCACTAGGTGAGCAATGGTGGTGTATCGGTGCTTAGACCCGCTTACATGCACAGTGAAGTCAGCTAACCTCACTGGCTTTTTTCCTAGAATAATAAGACATTTTGTTTTGTTTTGTTTTCTCTGATGCTTTAGGAAGGGTTAAGAAACTTCAAGGAACTTCGAGCCAAATTTCAAAAGTTTGATGTGCCATCTCTTCCAGGACCTATTAAATTCTCAGCAGGCGTTCCTCAAAAGGGTAATATTGGAAGCACACAATCAACAAGAATTTTGGCCAATGGGAAACCCCTCTTGTCCAACCAAAATCCGCTCCCACCATGCTGTTCTAGTGCGGAACCCCAGCTTCTAAAACCCCAGGAAACAAAGTTAGCCCAGAGGGGTGAGATTCAGAAATGTTCGAATTCCCCAGGACCTCCGGAAAGGTCTCCTGGTTCTGCAGTAAATTCCCAGAAAACTTCTCTCCTGTTAGACATGAGTCAGTCGAATGCCGAGATAACCAACAAAAGGAGAGTCGTGGTGAACGAGAGCTTCAAAGATAAGCTCTGGAACTGGGAGAAGGTTTCATCTCAGAAGAGTGAGTTGTCTTCAGCCTCTCTCCTTGCCAGTTGCGCACGCAGGGCCTTCCATCTGGAGGAGGAGAAAAGCAGAGGGCTTCCTCCAAAGGAACCCAGGAGAAAGCTGGAAATAAAAGGACCACAGACCCTGCCTTCCCAGAGGCACTTGATGGCCCAAAGAGAATCACTTGCCTCTCCTGAAGATCCCACTTTTCTACTTGTTCAACATGGCAGGAAGAGCCTAGAAAATCCTCTTCCTGAGAGGCGCCCAGTGAGGGGCTCCTGCCAGCCTATCTATGAGAGTGAACTTGCCAACCAGGCCCCAGGTGAGATGTAATCCCTGTGGGCCCAGGGGAGGGGCCACTGTGTTTTTCTAATTTAGAGCCTATGAAGATCATGTATGATCTGGGTGAATTTTGCCCCAAATGCCAGGGCAGGTATTCTAGGCCCATCTGCCAAATTGTAATTTCAGGTTTGGGTAAAGTGCTCAATCTCCTGGAATTCTATTGAAAGATAGTTTGGGCAAGCTTGGGTTTGAATCCTAGCTCTACTTCTTACAGCATGCATGAACTTGGGCAGTCTACTTAACCTCTTATAGCCTGGTCTGCTCTCCTGTAAATCAGATTCGTCACCAATCTGCCCCAACTTGGTAAACAGCACAGCCATCCTCCTAGCTGCTCAGGCCAAAAACCTAGGAGCCATACTCTATTCCTCTCTCCCTCTCATTCTTTGCATCCTCTCCGTCAGCAAGCTCTTGGTTCTACCACCAAAATATGTCCTGTATCTCTCCACTTTGGCCCACTTCTGCCCTCTGCCCTGTCTCTATCACTGTCGTCTCTCACCCGGGCCACAGTGGTCCAGCTGGTTTCTCTGCTTCCACGCTCTTGCTCTCCACTACCCTGTTCTCCCAGCAGGCACAGTGATCCTCTAGAGCACAAATTAGATCACATCACTCCCCTGCTCAGGTTCAACTCTAGCCATCTTACACCAGCTGATGCCATTTGGCCCTTCCTACCTCTCCTTCTACTACCTTGGCCTTTTTGCTTTTCCTTAGATAAACCAAGCTAGTTCCACCCCCGGTTCTTTACACTTGCTGGTCTCTCTGCCTGGCACAAGCTTCCCCCGTCTTTGATGTCTCACTCCCTCACTTCATCATGCTCTCTGCTAGGGTCACCTGTTGTGAGTGGAATCTGTGAGTCGCCATCTACAATAACCACCCCACCTCCGTCAGTCTCTGTCTTCTTCCGTTGCTTTGGTTTTCTTCATTGCCCATCCCTACCTTGTACATTGTTACATATCTGTTTGTTTGCCTCAGTAAAATGTAAGTTACATAAGGATTAAAAACTGTCTTCCTTATCACCATATCCCCAGCACCTAAAAGAACAAGGCCAGGTTCAACAGGTCCTCAAAACCTATTTATTGAATACTTGAATGAATGGGTGGATGGACGGGTGGGTGGAGGGATCTCCTGCTTACAACCGTATATGTGTTTAGAATAGAATCTAAACTACTTACCACTGATTTCATGGCTCTGCACCTTCTGGGCCCTGCTTATGGATCTGACTTACTGCTGCCCTGGCTCACGAGTGGACACACTGGATTTCTTGCTATTCCATGAAGAGACTTTATTATGCTCGGGACATTTACATTTGCTCTTTCTCTTCCTAGAAAACTCTTCTTTGAGCTCTCTGTAGCTACATTTAGGTCTGAGTTCACATGACACTTTCTCAGATAATCTTTCTCTAACCTCTGTATCTAAAGACCACTGCCTCACCATGAGCAGTTGGCATTCTTTCCTATCAGCCTGTTTTATTTCTTTCATAGAACTGACAAGTCTCTGTGATTACCTTGTTTGTGTGTTTCTCATCAGTCTCCTCCTATTAGAATGAAAATTCCTGAGGGCAAGGCTCTGTCTGTTCTTGTTCTTAACTCTATACCCAGCTTCTAGAATGATGCCTGGACTGTAGTAGATAAATTGTTATTGATGAGGGGATAGGAAAGTAGAGTGAATGGGGGGAAGGAAAGAAGGATGGATTGCCTACCTGACGGAGCTGTTGAGGGGATTAAATGAGATGACCCATGTCCATCTCTTAGCACAGTGCCTGGTAAAAATTAGGAACCCAGTTTGTAAGGGATCATTCATTTTCACTACATTTTCTCCTTAACTTGATAAAAACTGAAATTTCTGACATCATGACTTATAATCAAAGCCTAAGAAGAGAGGACTTGGTCCTGACTGATGTAACCCCTGCTAGTGGGGCAAGAGGAAGCTTCCCTCCCCCCCCCCCCCCCCCCCCCCCCCCCCCCCCCCTCCCCCCCCCCCCCCCCCCCCCCCCCCCCCACCCCTCCCCACCCCTGGCCTCTTTGCTCTTAGAAGGCAACAGGGCTCTGAGGAAGTAGTACAGAGGCCAACGTCTTTATTTTTTGGCATGGATGGTACATGTAGTCAACCACTGTATTATGTGAACCCCAAATCAAGGCCCTTGGATCATACAAGGTTTTGTGCTATTTTCACTGTAAGAGGCAGATACGATTTTTCATATATAACATTGGAATTTCTTTTGGAGTTTGGCTTCCGAGCACAGAAGGATGAAATGTATGAAATTGAGATTGTCCTGGAAAATTCCAGGACTCAAAACCCCAAAATCCACAGGTGCCCACGTACCTCAAAGTTAGCCTTAAAGCTTGCCCTAGGCTATGAGTCCTGGAAATCGGAGATCAATTCGTCCTCTTTATAGCCCCCATGTTATTTGCATGTCCTAAGTGATTGAGGCATCCTTTAGGGGGATAGTCACCATCCATTTCCTTGGGAGTAGGCACCATGCTCGATGCTGGCAGGAGATTGGTGTGGCCTGGTGCCTGCACACAAGCAGCTATCACTCGATGGGAAGATGGACCCGCCCCTCTCATATGCCACAACACTGAGAGAGAGGTGTTAACAATACATTGTGGGGGTACAAAACAGAGAGTGGTTAATTCTCACCTCGATTTTGAAATCAAATAAAGCTTCCCAGAGGAGGTGTCATTGGAACAGGACCTTAAAAAATGAGTCAGAGCTTTCTAAGAAAGAAGTGAGGGGAGAGCATCCCAGAACCAAGAAGGGCATGAACAAAGTCTTGGATATACGATGGCTTTTTAAATCAAATTTGGAGAATTGAGAAGCCATCGGTGTGAATGAAAGATATTTGGGCTCGAGGTTGGGAAAGTAGGATGGTAAACGGTGGTAAGAGAAGAATCTGGAAATGTGGATTGGGGTCATGTGGTATTTATATGCCAGAGGATGAGGTACATACATGGACGTCCTGCCGAGGAAGCCAGGCTTCAGCCTCGGGCAGCAGGCTGGTGACATGATCAGCCTGACTTGCGTTTTGATCGGGGCATCTGGCCAGTAGGAAGAGAGTAGAGGGGAGAGACACTGAGGCAAGGACTGGTCAGTTTCACCCAAGAAGCCATGAAATGGAGATGGTAATAACCTGCATTTTCTTTTTATAATCCATGCTTAGAAAAACAGCCAGTTGATAGGCATCACCAATTTCTCAAAATGAAACCACTGCCTTCCATCAAGTCCCTGGGTCCTCCTCCCCCAAAGCCTCCGAAGCCCCCAGTCGTGAACCTCCAGGCCTTCCAGAGGCAGGCAGCTGCAATTTCCAAGGTCCACAGGGAAGGTAAGGAAATGCACAGGGCCCCGCACACAGCCAGCCAGCAGGAGTCACGGTTCCAGCGCCCGTGTCCCCCCTGTTACCTCCCTCTCCGTGTCAACTCCCAGATGATAATGCTCAGCTGCTTTTCCATGGGGCTGGACATCCATCACTGGTTATTTCACATACAGGCTGTGGCAGCTTGCCCGTGAAATGACAAATCTGTGGGAATTGGCCCCTTATCGCTCCTGGGCCAGCCCGCTTCCCCTGAGAGCATTGCATTTGATCACTGGGAATCTGTCCAAGAGGAAGAAAAAGAAAAGTAGTCAAGCACGGAGCAGGGAGCTTTTGTGTTTCCTACAAAGCCTGTGTTGTCAACACAATCAGTGCAGTAGGAGAGGGGAGAGAGTGAAAAGGGAGGAAAGGCACTGTGAACTTGACCTGTGATCCTAATGGGGGTCCCTCAGGCCTCTCTGATCTGCCTTTGGTAATTAGCTGAAGGGCCCCCCACCCCAGCCCCCACTGGCCCTTTCCAGGAACTGAAGCATCCTGGGAAGTCCTTTTTCTGTGCTGTTTTGTGTCTTCCTCTGCTACTTAAAGAAACGCCTTCTCATTCCCTCTCCACCTGCACCGTGCTCTGATCTTGTTGACACTTCAAATGCCTTTGCTTATGTTTGCGCTAATGAAACATGAGACGAACACACACTTTGGGGTGGTATGTAGTGCCGCGCTGACATTTGTCTTACTGTGGCCACGAGCGTCAGCAGATGGTACACTCAGAGAGCTGATGCCATCTGCATTGTTCATTTGACTGCTTTGAACAACCTCATGGCAGTTAAATTTCTTGAACTCACTCAGTAGTTCTCAAAGTTCAGCCTGCACCAGAGTCACCTTGAGGACTTGTCAAGACACAAATCACAGGGTCCTATTCCCAGAGTTTTCTGGTTTATTCGGTCTAGATTGGGTGCCTAAGAATTTGCCTTTTTAACAAGTTTCCTGGGGGGGATACTGATGTTGCTGGTTGAGGGATCATACTTGGAGAACCACTGCTGCAAGTCCTCTTGTCTTATCCTAAAAGGAAGTTCATCTTGTGTCCCCTCGTGCATGCACCTAATCTCAGTTGATTTGGCCAAGACCCCCTAGTGCCAACCCTAGTCCCCCAAGGTCCCATTTCCGCTCCACCAAGATGAACCAGGAGAAACTGACCAGACTGCAAGCCCAGGTGCACATTGGTGAGAAAGGAACAGCTTGCCAGAAAAAGGTGGTTCATAGAACGGCTACAGCCCTAGTTCTCCTTTTTTTTGGGGGGGGGGGGTTAAGATTTTATTCATTTATTTGAGAGAGAGCGTGAGAGAGCATGCATGGGGTGGGAGAGGGGCAGAGGGAGAAGCAGACTCCCCACGGAGCAGGGAGCCTGATGCGGAGCTCGATCCCAGGATCATGACCTGAGCCAAAGTGATAGCGTGCATTTATTGAGAGCTTACTGGTGTGCCAAGCATTGTTTAAACCCTTTCCATGACTCATCTCATTTATGCTCACAAAAACCCTGAGAGATGAGTGTTACTGTCATCCCCACTTTACAGATAAGGACAGACCCTTAACCGGCTGAGCCACCCAGGTGCCCCAAACCTTAGTTCTCCTTAAAGAAGTGAGGGGTAAACAATATCTCTGGTATTGAAGAAATGAATATAGTTACAAACCAAGGAACCACGATCCCTTTCCACAAGCCTGAAGTCCAGGCATCGGGGGCAGCGACGGCCCTCACCATCACAGGCCATGCTGAGGAAGCAGGTGACAGAAATGCTACCAGTGTCTTAAACCAACTTGGTGCAGACCATCTGACTAGTTGAGGACGACTGGCTGAAGCTCTGCACACACGATGCGTGGATGGAAATGCACCACTTGCTACCAGAGGGGAGGAGGTTCCAGACCTTGTGGAGAATTTTGACGAAGCTTCCAAGAATGAAGCAAACTGAATTAAGTCAACTTCTGAAGAAGATGAAACTTGAGGAAGTGACTAGGAGCTGCTGTTTTATATAATGACTGCTTTTTAAAATTTTGTTTATGGATCTGACGGACTCGAGATCTCTAGTATTTTTAAGCCCAAGCCCCTTGGACACTGCAGCACTTTTCAGTTTTTGCTTAGACACTATTCGTTCCTTGCAGCTCATTAACCTGGAGAAGTCTGGGAAGTTTGAAACAAGGTTAATGAAGGTCTTTGCCTGGTTAAAAAAAAAAAGAAAACAAAACAAAAGAGCTCTCTTATAAGTATACTTTAATAATAATTTGGCCACCTCCATAACAGAGAAGGCTAAGTATGATTTTTATAAACACTAAATAATTCAGACCTCAAACCCTCTCTCTGAAAGCAAAGAAGGTTGTCGGAGAACATAGAACAAAGCACCAAGTCTTCTGTAGTAAAATGGCCTTTGTAAATCCCAGCTCCCCAACTCACTAGCTATTTAAGTTTGGGCATCTTACTCACTGAGCCTCATTGTCCTTATCTGTAAAGTGGGGATGACAGTAACACTCATCTCTCAGGGTTTTTGTGAGCATAAATGAGATGAGTCATGGAAAGGGTTTAAACAATGCTTGGCACACCAGTAAGCTCTCAGTAAATGCACGCTATCACTATTGTAAGCTCGTGTTGAGCAGCCACACTCTCTTTGCCCTGGGTGCTGTGAGAGACATGAGAGTTAAGGAGAGAAACGCCCCCCCCACACACACACACAAGTTCTGGTGCTCCAGAAGGTCAGAGTCTCATCCGAAAGATCAAGATCGTCTTCATATAGAAACACCATATAGTGTGGGTGAGTGCTGCGCTGCAGGACGGAGGGCCTCCTAGGTGTCGGGGGGCAGGGAGGCTTGGGGCACCAATGAGTTGCCACTCCTCATTTTGTCTCTGGGGCCAGGGCATTGCACAGACAAAGTTCACTTTCATCAGGCTGCCACCTACGCCCCTTTTCACTGTGCCTCTTGCTCTTGCAGCAGCCGTAGAAGAGACCTGCCTGCCTCCAGAGAGGTGAGTACCTGTTTCTTAATTATGGGGGATCATAGCGCATGCCACATTGACAGGCTGTTTAGCCAGCCTGAGAGCAGGCAAAAAGCACAAGGCAGGTGTCTGCATATCTCGGAAGGGTTGCAGGAAGAACAGATTTATAAGCCACAAACTGCAACTTTTGTTTTAGAGGCGGGATTAAATAAACTGCATTTAACTGCTGTGCTGACGTTAAGTTGCAAAGGTGGTCCTCTGAGGTACTTTTATTTATTATACAGCTGGGTTCAGTAAATTGAAACATCAGCCTCCATAGTAATAAATCAAATTAGAGGCTGCAGAATGCTGTGGGCATTGGTGTGATGTTAGGACTTGGTAATGGGACAAAAGACCTTCTGTTTTTGCTGTACTTATTCTGAGAATTTTGCCATGTAAGTGTCAGGTTGTTAATTCACTCAACCAAATGTATCTGTTGAGTCCTTTGATGTGTCATACATTGAACTGGCTACTTTTTACAGATTTTCTTGCTTCCTTTTCTCAAGGCTGCAAAATGGCTGCTGCTGGCCTCATTTTATAGCTAAAGGTACTTGGGCTCAGAAAGTCTGGCCACTTGCAGAAACATGATTCCAGCCCAAGTACCCCCAAACTATTTTTTCTATTGAATATAATGGAAACATAAGATTGTGTAAATTGGAGGTATACAAGGTGTTAGTTTCATACATATATAAATCACAGTATGATTACTCCAGTAGTGTTAGCTAACACCTTGATCACCTCACATAATTCTCATTTCTTTTTTTGTGTTGAGAACAGTTAGCAACTTTAAAAGTTATAACACATACTTTTTACCGTAATCACTCTTTGTACATTAAATCTCCAGAACTTATCTACTAGTTGTAAGTTTGTACCCTTAAACAACATCTCCCCAATTTACTCACCCCTCAGCCCCTGGTAACTACAATTTACTCTTTTTTTACAAGGTTCGGTTTTTTAGGTTTCATGTGTAAGTGATACTATACAGTAATTGTTTTTCTGACTTATCTCACTTAGCATAATGCTACCAAAGTCCATCCATGTTGTCACAGATGACAGGATTTTCTTCTTGTGGCTAAATAACATTCTATTGTACATCTACTTCACATCTTCTTTATCCATTCATCTGTTGATGGACACTTGGGTTGTTTCCGTATCTTGGCTATTGTGAATAATGCTGTAGTGTTAACATGAGCGTAGCAGTCTCTCTTCAAGGTGCTGACTTCATTTTCTTCAGATACATACCCGGCAGTGCTGAATCATATGGCAGTTCAATTCTTAATCGAACCTCAATACTCTTTTCTGTAATGGCTGTACTAACAGGTACGCCCAAACTGTTTTGATTATATCACATCACTTCCCTCACAAAGATGTTCCTTTTCTCAAGAAAGTCAGCCTTAGAAGAAGTAAGCATAAGGGCGCCTGGGTGGCTCAGTTGTAAAGCGTCTGCCTTTGGCTCAGGTCATGATCCTAGGGTTGTGGGATCAGGCCCCGCATCCAGCTCCCTGCTCCGTGGGAAGCCTGCTTCTCCCTCTCGCACTCCCCCTGCTTGTGTTCCCTCTCTTGCTGTGTCTTTCTCTGTCAAATAAATAAATAAAATCTTTTAAAAAAAAAAAAGTAGGCATAAAAACAAATAATCATATTATTTACCAAATGTTTATAATAGTAGAGTGTGTTAAGTTTTCTAATAGGGGAAAGCACAAGATTTAGAGGTTTCGCAAATATGGGAGTGATTGTCTGTCCTTGGGAGGGCCAATGAAGTCTTGGTAGAAAATGTATCCGTTATCTTTTGCTACAATCATACTACATGATAAGCAACAAAATATCCATAGCACACAGCAGGAGTATGGGTTTGGCTGATCTGGACTGAGCTGCTATTGCTAGTATGTTGCAAACTACCGAGGCAGTTTTGCTGATACCGGTTGCTTATGTGTAGGGGGTCAGCCTGCAGCCGGCTGATCTCGGATTGCCTTGGCTGACATGAGTGGGGCAACCTGACTTAGCACCAGCTGTCTCACCCTCCAGCAGGTTAGCTGAGGAACGATCTATAGCCACAGCAGACAAGCAGGACAATCCCCATTGCACAAACACTTTTTCAACTCTGCTGTGTCACATTTGCTAACATCCTCTTGGTCAAAGAAAGTCACATGGCCCAGCTTCAGAGTGGGAGGATGCCAAAACTTTACCTAAAAAGGGTCAGGGACCCAGGAAGGAAACATTTGCAGGGAGTACCGAGGATAGACATGTGCTGGGTAACATAGGGAGGGGTGCTATAGGCAGAGGCGGGAAGTGTAAGGAAGCAGGTCTCAATGGTGAAAATTAGAAATAGGTAAGTAGAATTGGTAAGGAAAGGGTGGTATGAATGGAGAGAAATGCTATTGCAGGGGAAGACAGCGACCAAATCTTGGAGGTTCTTATTCACCAAGGAATTGACCATGGGTGTTGGGCATGGTTCATGTGTCCCAGGAACTCCTAGTTTAGTCACCCATTTAGAAGAGTTAAGTGACTGCACATGGTGAAGCCACATTCTATGTGCATTTATGCGAAAGAGAAAATTCAGACAGCTAAGGCAATGATTTGCCCTGCTTACTCGATGAACATGGGCCCCTCAGTGTGACAGTTTGAGGGGACAATGTAATTCTGCTGTGCTCTGAGCCAGTCTTGGCTCCCTCAGGACTCGCATTCTGTGAGCATCTCAGCGTGACTGTATGTGTGCTGTGATTGTAGTGTATAACTAGATAGATATTCTTCCTACAGTTTGGCTCTGAACTAAGCTGACTTCTTCTCTGGCCCTTTAATCAAAGACAGCAGTCTGTTTCCACATGGAGGACAAGCTTGCTTGATGGGCAAGTACTGGGAAACAGTGGCAAGTCTCCAATGTAACAGCTTCTTCCTAAGGGATTCGGGAGGGCAATTGGACTGTTGTGTCCTTTCACACTGGCTTTAGAACCTAACCATCATCAGAAATGAGGTTTGTTGTACCTCAGTTATGATATGGACCATAGTGTTGTCAGAGTACAAAGCAAAACAGACAAAGAGGGACCTGGGATACTTAGGGGAGGCTTCATGGAGGAGGAAAGATCTTCAGATGTCTCCTGCATGATGGGTCAGAATTAGTAGGTTTACTTATTCCCTTTTGTGAAACTGTACAGTAGGTGAAGGCAGGGCATTGTTCCCAGAAATGACCACATTCCTGACTTATCATTGGTTAATGGATGATGGATAGACCAATGGATGTTCAGTATAGAGATAGAACATGACTGAAAACAAGGCAGTAGTAATAAAGTGGAGGATGAACAGACACAAAGTATTCTGATGTGGAAGAATAAGAGACAAGGTTGGATCCTAATGTTAATTACATGCCATGCTGAGGATTTAGGACCATAGCTTGCAGTGATGAGTTTAAACAAGTAAATGCCATGATGCTGAGCAGCCTTAGATACAATTTCCATGGAAACCAGTGCTTGTTTGGAAAGAACATCTCCTGTGGTCATGGTATTAATCTTCAGTACAGATACTAGATTAGGAACAGAATATATTGGGTCTCATTACTGGAAGGGGACCTGGCAATTATTAACAAATCTGGGGTTTTTAATCTGAGCGCTACCACTTAACACCTACATAACCTTGGACAAATGCCTTAACCTCTGCAAACCTTACTTTCTACTTATGTAAAATGGGAAGCTGATAAGACCTAACTCATATAGTTGTGGTGATGTTAAATGCAACAATAATTGTAAAGTGTTGAGTGCAGTACCGAGCATCTAGAGAGTGTTCCATAAAGCTTGCTTAGCTATCATATAACCCCCTCCAAAGGCAGGAATCCATGCTCAGAACCTTAATCTCTTCAAAAGTCCTTTGAGGAGGAGTTCATTCCCTGAAGAATAGGAGATAAGGTTGGATCCTAAAGTTAATTAGGTGCCATGCTGAGGAGTTGGGATCGTAGCTTTCAGTGATGAGTTAACTTAAACAAGTAATATGTTTTTCTTGTTGGGGCAGATTTTATTCATTTAACGTATTTTTTTTATTTAAATTCAATTAGCCAACATATAGTATATCATTAGTTTCAGATGTAGTGTTCAACAATTCCTCAGTTGCACATTCAACATATATTTGACTGTCTACTATATGCCAGACCCTCTCATATACATTGAGAACATAGCAGAGTATAGAGTAGGCTGAAGTATCTTACATGCATGCACACATATGTGCACACACACATTTGTTTTATTTATTCAAAAGTCCAAGGTGAGCTGGGACCAAAAACTGACATCCCTACCCCAGATTCCCAGCCATCTGTCCAAGATCTGCTCATTGGTAGAATAGACAGGGTCTTTACCCCTCCCTTACCTGACAGTTCTTAAAACATCTAAGGACTACATTCTGTTAAGTAAAACTTTCATCACTTTCAACCATTATTCCCAAAATAGGAGTCTATGTTTTACCCATATTTTTATAGATATATGTTTTTAATCATCTTGTTAGAAATTCAGTGCATTTACAGTAGCTACTTTCACTTTTGAACCTTCACATCCTGCATTGTGTCCTGCAACGAGTACAAGTCTGGAGTCAGATTCCCATAGAGTCAGACCCCTCCTTTACACCTACGACAGCTCAGAGCTTTGATATATACATCTGTGAAGTGGACACAATAGTACTTCATTGATTGTCATGAAGACTAAATGAGATAAATTGCATAAAGCATGGAGTATACAGAAGATGCTCAATGAGTTTTGGTGTCCTCAACCCTTGGCCTCTCCATCCCTTGTTATATCTGGAATAAATATCTCATTAGTTCCCAAGAGTGCAATGACTCTTTGGAGATTATTCTCTGTCATCACTCTTTCATGCAAACCAAGTTGGCTGGCATCCCTCTTGAATAAGCAGCCCCTATTTGTATGAGCAAAGCAGGTTAGTCCCGGGGCAGCAATTAACGCTAGGTCTCTGTCAGTACTTAGGAGAGTCGGCTAATATTTTATTCATTAGCTATAAAT